CTAACAACGGATTTTACGAAACTCCAACCGTAGGGGGGTTAAACGGGATCCACGCGTACGAAGTCGCGGGGGGCCGCTAGTCAACAATAAGAACACGTGGCAGTTTAAAAATATGAATTTCAACCGTGAAAAGAAAATATCCGAGTTGCTATACAATAACACTGAAACTTCAATGCAGTGTAAAAGCAAACCATGTATACTTAATTAAGATCGTACCCCCAGATTCTTCCCGAACACTTTATGCCCTTATAACTTCCTTGGAACCAGCACAAAGGCCCGGGTTCGATTCTCTTGCGTGCCAGAATTTTCCGGGTCATGCACTAGATGGCTAGATATGATATTGTGCCAAGTTGCAGTTGAAATAAAGGTTATAATTAAGAATTATGGAATTGTGGGACAAGTGAAATGGTTTTCTATAGAGCTTCCAAATATAATTTTCATGTGAAACGAGTTTGAAAGTATATTGAATATTATTTCCCGTTTTTGCAACATTTCGCCCCTATTTAGGGTGACGTTATAGCTAACACAAGGTGGACCGACGACCTGATAAAGGTAGCAGGAAGGCGCTGGATGCAGGCCGGTACCAACCGTGCGATGTGGAAGTCATTGGGGGAGGCCTATGTTCAGCAGTGGACATCCTATGGCTGAAATGATGATGATATAGCCTAAAGCCTTCCTCGATAAATGGGCTATCTAACACTGTCAAAATCACAAGCCACTGCCGCTTCCATACCTCATACACTGACTGAATTAATAGCTGGACCTTACAGCATATTTTCTAAGAAACTTACAGCTTCCTGAAAACCATTTTGAAAGTTATTAAACAGTTTCTATTTTCAGCATCTAGTGCAGAATAGAAGTCTTACACAATAATGTACCGACAATGTACTGGTTCTTAAATCTTCACCAACAATACACTATTGTGAACCGAAGTATAAAGCGGCGATATTTTGAATCTGTGTTTGAAATTTTAAGAAAAGGTTTCCGGTTTTCGATGGAATACCTTTAAATACAAAATTTGTTGGAAATAGAAAGTAATAAAGATAGAGAATATGGCACAAATAAATAACTTTTGGTCATGGTAACATATAAAATAAAGGTAGCAGGAAGGCGCTGGACGCAGGCCGCTACCAACCGAGAAACATGGAAAGCATTGGGGGAGGCCTATGTTCAGCAGTGGACGTCCTATGGCTGAAATGATGTCCTATGGCTACATAGTTATGTTTTATAAAACAAAGTCGCTTTCAAAGGCTTAGGGATGCTTAGATCTTTAAAACTACGCAATGGATTTTGATGCGGTTTTTTAATAGATAGATCAATTCAAGAGAAAGGTTTATAATATGCCGTGCGAAGCCGGGGCGGGTCACTAGTAAATAAAAAACACAATTTAAAGACTACCAACCCCTATAAGACCACTTTATTTCTAATTAACCAAATAAACTTTGGTTTGATTTTGATTTCAATCCGCAACAATACCAGAAACAATATCAAGATACAAGCCCGTGAAAAGCGCTCAAAAGCCATGGCCCGACCCGGCGCTGAACCCCGACCCGGTCTAATCCGGGCGTCCATTTATCATACTGTCCGCCGATAACCGACTTAGCAGGGTTCAATTGAGATTTTTGTTGGTGAAATAGGGTGAGTAATTACGTTGCTATACGAGTATATACAGGGTGTAAAATACGTATATGTAAGGGCTCGTTCCGACGACAACACGGTTTTGCGGGATCCAGTAATGCAGGTTCACGCAAAACTGGACTGTGTCCGTAACGGTTTCTTCCCACGGAAAAAACGCAAGGTCCCGCAAAAAACCCAAATTGCAATATTCAACTTTACTTTTGAAGTGTACAAAATACATATACATATTTCGAAATAAAAAGAATTATTTGTCTATGTAGGAGTAGGAATAGTAGCTACAGTTGCCGGTAGTTGTTTTTTTATTTCAAAACTAACGTGTAGTAAGTAATTTTCAGATAAATTGTAAAAGCTACAAGTTTTGGAATTCCGTCCATACTTTGCATTGTTCAATAAAATGAATCTTCCCCTATACATCCACCCGAATCCATAGACAATATCGCCAACTATAGCTTACAGCCTTAATTAATAACTAGGTATTTCACAAACATGAACCGGACCCAAAATCCGGCCTCCCGTCTCAGCTACGAACCATAGACAATGGTTGGAAGGCATAGACAAAGGACATCAAACGGTATTAAACTAAAAGACGTTATACAATAGAGAGGGGATGACAAACGCTGGGATGGGGGTTGGTGCGGGGAAGAAGAGCCAGCGTGTTCTAATTTTGAAATTCAAGGTTCGAACGGTGACAAGCCATACGTTACTCGTTCGAATATTTTAAATTCAAAATTCGAACGGTTAAAAAACCATAGATACGTCACTCGTTCGAATATTTGAAATTCAAAATTTAACGGTGGCAAGCCACAGATAAGTCACTCGTTCGTATAATATTTGAAATTCAAAATAAGAATGGTGAAAAACCATAGATACAACCTCGAGTTTACTGCGCACCTCGCTGGAATGCGAATCTCCCTCGCACTCACCCGCGCACCTCCCCGCGTTCGCCCCGTCCGCGTCCGTACCAGAGCGTCGATGTAACGTCACGGCTGTCAGGTGTGCAGTTAACTCGACCGGGTTGTACATCACTCGTTCGAATATTTGAAACTCAACATTCAAACGGTGGAAAACCATAGATACGTCACTCGTTCGTATATTATTTGAATTCTAAATTGGACCAGTAACAAACCATGTACCTACACGCGTCGTTTATAGAAAATAAATATAAGTTTCACGGAAAATAAATAAAAAATAACATTTCATTCGGAGAAAACTGTTGCCTTTTTATTATTTAGATATTTATAACCGAAATCAATTCATATATTATTCAATAGTAAATATTAGTTTTGCAACTTTTCCTGTTGAGTGGGCCGTAACAGTTGCGGTTCTTCATTCACATACCTCGTGACTATTTTTAACACGGGGTAAGTATGCCTCGCCTTTCCGTTGTCACACACAAACAATGACATACTTTATATCGAACTCTCTTTAGAACTGCCTGTCTTTAAGCGGAGCGAGGTAGCGGAGCGGTGAGCGAGGTAAAAATCCACCAATAGAATTGCATAAAATCTCCGCTTCTCTTTAGTGGACAGGGAAGTTGGACAAAGTTTGGAAGCGGAGAGATAAACAGAGCGTCGTCGCGTGCTCGCAGCCTTACTCCGCGTATGGAAAAACATAGTCTGCGACTCCTCTCCGCATCCTTTTCACTCCGCTCCGCTAACTAGCTCCACGTCTATAAGTCTGGAACTCCGCTCCGTATTACTACCTCGCTCCGCTACGGTCTTTAAGGACGTAGCACACTTATCAACCCGGAAAGGGATCGTAACCGTAGCAACTCGTGGCGGTCAGTATTCTTTGTATGAAACTCCATACTGCAACGCACACTTATCTGCACCATAACATAAACTCGTACTTGACAGCGCACGAAAGGCAATGACAGCTCGCGGAAGGCGGTACGGTTTTGATCCCTTTCTGAGTTAATAAGTCTGCTATGACCTTTACACGCCCCGTGGGAATATGAATGTACCTTTAATCAGTTTATCAATCGCTTAATCCTGCATTTTAGACCAACAGCAGACTGTAAACGGACACTCAAGTGTTTTTCTTTGTAAGTCTACACCGCGACGAAACTGAACCGAATGGCGACGCATTAGTTAATATTTATTTGGTCGCGAATTGTGTCAGTGTTTTTGTAAATATCTGCATTACATGATAGCTTACAGGGAAGACTATCGCCCGTATTCACAAACGTTACTATGAGGTCTCACAGTGCGCGTGGACGCACAGGGTGACACGCGAACCAATCACAGAGCTCTATTCAACGCTGTTCGTTCGATTTGCTGCTTCACTTAAGCAAGTATCGTTTTTGAAAACTCTTTCACAGTGCTTTAATGTAACACAGTTTTCCCGTGGGTTTTATAATGAAGTCAAAATTTATGCTATCGCCGAAGTACATACCTACATTAGTCTGGTACTATGATGGTCACAGGCTTGAATCCCATGAGGTGCTAATTAATCTTACTGTCATGATATAAGCTCTTACTTATAGAAACTTTAGTTGAGTAAATTGAGGCTTTAAACATACAATTCTTACAAAATTGTTGGAAGAGATCTCACACTGGCGACAAAGCGTTCTAAATTGTATCTTTCCAACTTTTGGATCCTTTCTTTTATGTTTTTGTGTGATCAGTTTAAAAGAATACCTAGCGGTCTAGCGTTTAACTTAATCAATGCTTGAGGTATGGGAGCGGCACGTGTGGCTGTTTTTGCAATGTCAAACGTCAATGAGACTTCAGATCTTTTTCATATGGAGCATTCCACGCGAAGCGGACAGGTAAAAAAAGTCGATGTTTCCGATTTCAGTAATATTTGAGTATGTTCTACCTATACATATTATTGATACGTGTACCAAATATTTTTGTAATATAATGACTAGTTTAAGAGTTATGGGTCTTCGAAGTTTTCGACAACCGGTTGGCATGCAGTACTTCAAAGCCGATTATGGAGTCATAAAATTATATATTAAAATAATTCAACCACGGGATTTATTANATTTCCATAAAAGACAATACATAACCAAACGATGCTGCGTGTAATGGATAAAAGACGTAAAGTTATCATTTGTGTAAATGAAACATACTTTTTTTGGTAAATGTTGCCATTATGTAAACATTTGAGAGCTGCTTAGCTGATCACGGCTTCAAATCCGTTGAGTAGCGTTTGAGAATACCATTTAAAATTGAAGGATACTTAAATTTAGGAGCCCGTCAGCTGAGTGACAGATTTGAGTAGTGTTTCAGTATTCGGCCGTAACAACGATTGACGACATTAAATAAATAAATAAATCTAGCTACTCCCCCATCAATCTGTTTTTTAAAATTGAAATTTTCGGGAAGTCAATTCAATTAATCCTTTTACATTTTCAGCACCGAGAGCGGCGTCAGAGAAGGTGCTGATAACGACGAACAGTTCATGCGTGCATCTAAATCTATTGACGTGGGACAGCAACGGCTGCCCGCTGGGCCCCTTTACGGTGTCCGTGCGGGGGTTCGACGACTCTACGTGGACCACAAGGTCGGTTTAGATATTGACTTACTTGACTTATGGTCCTATGTCCCCTAGATGGGGCAGAGGGCGTCCACAACAGTCCTCCATCGCGTTCGGTCTTGAGCTATGTGTTTGATCTCGCTCCAAGTCTTGCCGATCTTCTTCGCCTCGTCTGCCACAGTGCGCCGCCAAGATTGCTTGGGGCGACCAAGCAAACTTGGCGGTTTAGATATTGCAGTTTGATAAACGACTTAATGTGAGCTATTTTAAATACAGTCAAAAGCAGTCGATTTGTTAGATGTATTTTCCAATATTTTTATTTTCTTGTATAAAAATTTCCGAATGTCTTTTTTCTCTGTATTTCTTTTTAACGCACGCAAAATTTCGTAGTCGTTTATTTTACTTGGGGCAAAACTTCTTATTCGTTTGTTGTGACCCTGTTTGTAATTTTGTATCAGCTTGACGGTCAGTGAGCATCAGCGCGATTCTTAAACCAACCTTACTGATAAGTAAAATTTCGTATCGACAAAAATAAACATGAAAAAAAAAAGATTCCACACAAAATTGCAAACAAGGCTACAACAAACGAATAAGAAGTTTTGCCCCAAGTAAAATTAACGACTACGAAATTTCGCATGCATTAACACTAGAAAGGCCGCCGTCCCATTTTTGTCCCACTCGCGAGTTTGAACAGCTCTAACTTTTTTATTTTTCAACGAAAGTCCATGAAACTTTTTGACTTTTTCTGATTTATTGAATTTTATAATTTTTTAATGTTTTTGATAATACAACATTGATAGAATTTTTTTTTAAATCGGTTTTACCTAGAAGCGCCACTGGGTCAATTTTGTCCCACCCTGGTATTTGCCACAATAATTCGATGAAGAGTCCTTTTTTCGAGGAGATACGAAAGTGGAGAGGTGAGGAGAGTTTAGGTAACTCGTGACAATGCAGAAATGTAAATATATAGTACTAGTTTTTGCCTGTGACTTCACCCGTGAGAAATTAAGTTTATCATAGAAAGACCTAATTTCTTGACACTTATCGTTGCTTTTGGACCAAATAACTGGATTTTATTCTAAATATATAGGCTATACTATATTATGTTATTCTGAAGTATATTAACAATAAAATTACAAAGTTTTATTAAGATATTTTAGTATATTTTGCGTAAAAGAGTGAAAAAACATCCATCGATCTAACCATGAATCCATACTCACTTAGTTCAAGTTCCAGGCATATATCCACCTATTCATCCATCCTATCCATTCATCAGTCCATCCATCCTTCAATTCATCAATATTTATTCACTTTTACATTTATAATATTAGTAGGAAGATGGCCTCTAGACATAAGCCAGTTCATACATTGTATGATTTGATACATTTTTAAAATGTGTGACTTATAAAATTTTGAAGATTAAACGTACATAATTTTCATTGTAATTGGTCAAAAACTTCATTGTTTATGTACAGATAACAGAAAATAACCATACCTATAGAAATTCCTAAACACATAGTACACCAGATAGATAAAAAAACCATACAAAAAACATTGTGCAAAATGTTCACTATTATTTTTAAGATATTTATTTTTTCTTTAAAAATAATAATGACTAGTTAAAGTAGTAATTTCATGATTTTAATACAGTATACCAACACGTAATATGTGACTATTTTTAAATGAAACCAAAAATATCTAAATTTTAATAATTCCAAATTAAAATTGAATACATTAATATTTTTAAAGAAATAAGTACATATTGTTTTAACCACATAGATAAACCTTTTTTTAAGGATACTACAAATAGTTTTAACCATAATATTCATGCCTGAAACTAAAAAATGTTACAAAATACATGCTGGGACAAAATTGACCCAGCGGCGCTTTTAGGGGGGTCGTAATCTTCGGCACTTCTAGTGTTAAAAGAAATATAGAGAAAAAAGGCGTTCGGAATTTTTTATACAAGAAAATAAACATTACAGAAATTTTTTCTACAGTGAAAAACTCGATCGGAATTTTTTTAAACAAGAAAATAAAAGTATTGGAAAATGCATCTAACAAATCGCCCAGTCATTTAACTGGAATCGAGTTAAATGAGGGCTATCGTTTTAGCGCTCACCAGTTGGCGCCACTGTAGAGTAAGGTCCTGTCACTTGCTAGTAGCGAAGACAGTGGCGCCGACTGGTGAGCGCTAAAGTGGTAGGAGGACTATCACATTTGCACTCATCAAGATGGCGCCACTGTAGAGTAAGGTCCTGTCAATCGCCAGGGGTGCCAACTGTTAAGTATAAAAACGATAGCCCTCATTAGCAACGATCAGATTGAATCACCCCAAAATATCAGATAGTACCCACCGTATTGTCCCTAGAACGGTGCCGGCCGCGCTGCCGACAGACGTGTGCGGGCTGGCGCCGGGCGCGTGGCACCACTTGAAGGTGCAAGCCGCCAGCGCCGCCGGCGCCACGCTCGCCAACTACTACTTCGCCACGCTCACTGAGGAAGGAGGTCAGAGCTTGATTCATGAGATTGTACAAATCTGTCCAGGTCCAAGTCAGGCCAGGAAATCTTTAACGTTTTACATAAATATATTGACTTGGCCATCGCATGAAAACACGTGTAAATTAAATTATTTAGTGCGATGGCCAAGTCAATAATTTATGTAAAACGTTAAAGATTTCCTGGCCTGGACTTGGTATTACATGGATCTCACAACTTTTTACCGTAGAAAAACTGAGTTGCGAGACTTGGTTTTTTTGACAAGTATTGTTTTTGATGGGATGTTAACTGACACCAATAACTCTGGTTCGACAAAATGAGGGTTTTCGCGATTGAAAAATCCGCCAGATGGCAATACGTAGACGCGAGGTCCAAATGCTGCATGATTGGTGGATTTTGACATCTGTCAATGTCATGTTAAAAATAACCAATCATGCAGCATTTATTTAGATCTCTCGTCTACGTATTCCCATCTGGCGGATTTTTCAATCGCGAAAATCCTCATTGATACAATTTGATATAATAGTAAAGGGTACATAAATAATTGGTAATCGGTATAAAAGGGCGATGGAGCGTGCTATGCTCGGAGTTTCCCTGCGTGATCGAATCAGCAATGAGGAGATCTGTAGGGGAACCAGAGTGACTGACGTAGCCCGCAGAATCGCTAAAATCAAATGGCAGTGGGCGGGGCACATAGCTCGTAGAGACGATGGCCATTAGGGCAGAAAAGTTCTCGAGTGGCGACGACGGGTTGGAGAACATAGCGTGGGCAAGCCTCCTACTAGGTGGACCGACGATTTGGTAAAGGTCGCGGGAAGAGCCTGGATGCGGGCAGCGCAAGACCATTCATTGTGAAAAACCTTGGGGGAGGCCTTTGCCCAGCAGTGGACGTCTTTCGGCTGAAATGAACGAGCGAATAGATATGAACAAATTTAATGGTGACCAAGATGTGATACGTCAAAAAATTACACAGCCCTCAACCTTTGTCTCAGGTTTTACAAACAAAGAAGCAAATATACCTAACTTGTAACTCCAGAGCGCATTTTTGTCTCCGGTTTTACAAACAAAGAAAGAAGCAAGTACACTTAACTTTTCACTATTCCAGAGCGCATCCCGGCGCCGGCGCAGTTCCCGCCGCGTGTGGGCGCGGGCCCGGGCGGCGCGCGGGCGCTGCTGGCGGCGGCTGGCGCGGCGCTGCTGGCGGCGCTGCTGCTGCTGGCCGGCCTCGCCTACAGGAGGAGGTAGCGTAGAAATCAGAAATATTTATTTGCTTTTACATGGTTTTACAAGATATTATTATTACAATTGGCATGTCCACATGTTGACTTAGTCATGCAAATATTGGAAAAAAAAATCTACTATACAGGGTGGAAACGATAAGTGATCGCACTCGATTATTTCTAAACTATACAAGATATTGAAAAACTGGTTACTGATCCTGAAAGTCCTTCACAAGATCTATCCAACGGTATCAATAATAGGTTTCAAAATAAACTGGATCTATCCGAAAATTCAATGTTTCTACCTTCCATACATTTAGTAAAACCTCTCAATATTAAAAACTATACAAGATACCCAAAAACTGATTACTGATCCTGAAAGTGCTTCACGAGCTCTATCCAATAATACTAATAATAAGTTACAAAATGTACTGGATCTATCCGAAAATTCAATGTTTCCAACTTCCATACATTTAGTACTGCCACAGTCATGGTACTCATGTCTTGATAATATTATAGCAAGTAAAGCCTAGAACCAATGTTTTTCATGAATAATTTAAAATAAGAATGCAATTTACGAGTTTATTTGTGTTTATTATTTAGTAAAAAAATTAACACTTAATATTGTGTGGCTGGCATACATTTAGTATGGAGGCTAAAAACATTGAATTTTCGGATAGATCCAGTTAATTCTGTAACCTATTACTGATACCGTTAGAAAGAGCTCGTGAAGCACTTTCAGGATCAGTAACCAGTTTTTCGATATCTTGTATAGTTTAGAAATAATCGAGTGAGATCACTTATCGTTTCCACCCTGTATAAAAATAAGTCGGGTTTTCCTCCCTGACGCTATAACTCCAGAACGCACGAACCGATTTCCACGGTTTTGCATTCGTTGGAAAGGTCTCGGGCTCCGTGAGGTTTATAGCAAAGAAAATTCGGGAAAAGGGGGTAAAACGGGATCCACGCGTACGAAGTCGCGGGCGGCCGCTAGTGTAAGTATAAAAGAACAATAATAAATTACAGCGTTTGAATGTCAGGATTATTATTACAATGGATTATATTAACATGCTTCGTCTGTCTGTCTGTCAGTCTGGAACGAAAACAGGGTTTATGCAGGATGTGGTCTTGTAAAACAAAAACCATCTCAGGGATGGTAAAGCCTGGTCCGTGTGCACGTAGAATTTTGTCCAATGACCCCAAGCTACCTATCCTTATCACTCGCGCGTAATTATATTGCTGTAGCGACTGTGCGACGGGCGCCCGCAGCGAGTGTGCGAGCGCGACAGCAACAGAATTACGCGCGAGCGATAAAGATGGGTAGCTTGGGGTCATTGGACAAAATTCTACGTGCTCACGGACCAGGCTTTAGTAAACATGAAATTTATTACAAGAAAAATAACTTGGAAAACGCAGCGTGGGACGTCCACCCACAAGGTGAACCGACGACCTGATAAAGGTAGCGGGAAGGCGCTGGATGCAGGCCGCTACCAACCGTGCGATGTGGAAGTCATTGGGGGATGCCTATGTTCAGCAGTGGACGTCCTGTGGCTGAAATGATGATGATGATTATTTTATTTTTTTGCATCGGTGTCGTGTATACTACCACCCCTGAGATTGGGGTTGTTTTACAAAACCACACCCTGTATAAACAACTGGAGAGGATCGGTGGACGAAGCTGCGGATGAACAAAACAATATTTTTCATCAATAATCCAAATCTTCTTTTTAAATCCTTCCACCATCTCTTTCACTCATAGTTTAATAATTCCACGACTCGCGGTTGATCAGGCCGCTCGTCGGTGTCACTATTAAACGTTACATTCTTTCTGCTCTCTTCCATTCTATTCTTTTGTCCTCTAGTTGTCACAGCCAAAGTTATTTCATACCCTTTAACTTGCTTCGATGTTACACACATTATTAAAGGGTAAGCCTGCTCTTCTAGCGGGGAGAGTCACATTATATGGTAGCAACAGAGCTAAATCTTTAGAAAAATCCAAAATGCAAATACAAAATAATTAAAAAAATACTTATCTCAATTTATTATTCCAGCCCACCAACGTCGTGCCTCAGAAAGGGCTACGAGCAGGGAGACATCTCGGAGGAGGAGGACAAGTCGGTGGAGAAGCGCGACAACCGCCGCAACTGCCAGCAGGTGTACACCTCCTCGCCCAGCAAGCGGCCCGCCAGCGAGCAGGAGCGGCAGGGTGAGTCGTGCGACTGTGTTGTGTCGGTGGAGCGCGACAACCGCCGCAACTGCCAGCAGGTGTACACCTCCTCGCCCAGCAAGCGGCCCGCCAGCGAGCAGGAGCGGCAGGGTGAGTCGTGCGACTGTGTTGTGTCGGTGGAGCGCGACAGCGACGGCGCGGCGCTGGACGCCACCCTTCGGCAGTATTTTCAGTCTAGCTCCGAATCCACTTCTACGCCCACTTTGAAAGTTGGCATGAATGTTCTACACAATATTAGCTATTTAAATAAAAAAAATTAAAAAAATCGAAAGGGTCGAACTTTGTGAAAATCAAGGAAAAAAAATTAATTTGCATTTTTTTTAGGAAAAAAAATTTTTTTTTTCGTTTCCAAAAATACAGTTAAAAAGCACGGTAAATGAAGTAATAAATCCCGTGGTTGAATTATTTTAATATATAATTTTATGACTCCATAATCGGCTTTGAAGTACTGCATGCCAACCGGTTGTCGAAAACTTCGAAGACCCATAACTCTTAAACTAGTCATTATATTACAAAAATATTTGGTACACGTATCAATAATATGTATAGGTAGAACATACTCAAATATTACTGAAATCGGAAACATCGACTTTTTTTACCTGCCCGCTTCGCGTGGAATGCCCCATATGTTCGTACGCGTGGATCCCGTTTTACCCCTTCATCTATCTTACGCGGTTTAGATTTTTTCATACAAATGTTTATTTAATCCCGCTAACTCCCGTTCCGGTGGGAATTTTGAAATATCCTGTTGTAACTAAGCTTTAAGTTTACTAATATACCTGCATGCCAAATTTCAAGCGTCTATCATACGCGGTTTAGATTTTTTCATACAAATGTTTTATCCCGCTAACTCCCGTTCCCGTGGGAAATTTGCAATATCCTGTTGTAACTAAGCTTTAAGTTTACTAATATACCTGCATGCCAAATTTCAAGCGTCTAACTTAAGCGGTTTAGATTTTTCATACAAAAGGATTTTCCTGCTAATTCCCGTTCCCGTGGGAATTTCGGGAATTCCTTTCTTAGTGCACCTCTATAGTCTTTTTCNAATCTTGAACTTATGATCTTGGCTGGAATACTGGAATAAGAAAAGAAGTCGGTTAATAAAAATAACACTGACAGTAGTTAATATAACACCTCGGCTCAAGTAAATTATATCCTCCACAAAAACAACTTGACCTTCACAGGTAGTTTCCCTAGCTAGTATTGGCCTTAAAGGAGTATCCAAATAGTGGGTGAAGGAAGACAAGAGGGAAATAGTCCTGTATCCCCAAACTTTCAAATAATGGGAGTGTATAGCCACTGATTGGGTTTCATCAGCGACCAAGCTGCATATCCTGACTACAGAGGGCCGAGTTTACATCAAACGTCCTCACTAGTGAGCGCTTAAAAAAATGACATTAAATGTATGACGGATTGTACAGCGCCCCTAGGGAAAATGTTCATGAATTAAAATTTTCATACATTTTTTTAGCGCGCTTACTAAAGCCTGGTCCGTGAGCACGTAGAATTTTGTCCAATGACCCCAAGCTACCCATCCTTATCGCTCGCGCGTAATTATATTGCTGTCGCGACTGTGCGACGGGCGCCCGCAGTGAGTGTGCGAGTACGACAGCAACATGGGTAGTTTGGGGTCATTGGACGGGATTCTACGTGCTCACGGACCAGGCTTTACACAGGAGTTTTCTTGTATCCTCCATAAAAATTACTTGATCTTTACTGGTAGTTTCCCTAACTGTAGTATTGACATTAAAGGAGTAGCTAAATAGTGGGTCAAGGAAGATAAGAGGGAAATAGTCTTATGGTGCGTCCACACTGGACGAACGGGCTCGCGCGGCAAACTTGACAACTCCTGCTCACTCAAGAGCAGGCTGAGCAGGATGACCAGCGTGCCGCGCGAGCCCGTTCGCTCAATGTGGACGCACCCCTTAACTAACTAATTAGTCCAAACTAACAAAAAAAAACTTTCAAATATAATGGAAATGGTTCAATCTGAGACACCCGACCCTAGCCACTGACCGGGTTTCAACAGCGACCAAGCTGTTATATATCCTGGCTCTACAGTAGGCCTAAGATGCGCGCCGTGATAACTTTTATCGACGTTAAAATGTATGGGCAAAATCGATAAAATGGCGGGATAGCCACTTATCGCGGCGCGCATCTTAGGCCTAACAGGAGTTCAAACGTAAACGCAAAGTTGTCAAATACTGATGTAATATGCTATTGATGTTACTTACTAGAGATGTACGAGATCAGCCCGTACGCGACGTTCAGCATGTCGGGCGGCGCGAGCGGCGGCGCGGGCGCGGAGCTGGGCTCGCCGCCCGCGCCGCCCGCGCTGCGCTCCTTCGCGCACAAGCACCGCCACCAAGACAACACAGGTACACGATACACACGCTGGAAATACAGAATATTTCATGTGATTTGAGGTCCTAAGGCACCCCCTGGTACCCCAAGGATTTTGGAGATACTACCGTTATTGATGTTGACATAGACCTCAGATTTGCCATGCAGATGCGCCAGTGAGTACTAATCTGCGCGACTTGTGTCACCCCCTGATGCTTGGTACCCGGAGCGGACCGCCCCCCCCCCTTACGCCGCTAGTGGATCTATCACCCAGGGATTACCCTAGTTTAGACACTAGTCTCTCGCAAAGGTTCTGTTATTGTAAATTAGAAAGAAAGAAAGAAACATTTATTACTAGCTTTCCGCCCGCGGCTTCCCCCTCGTGGAATTTTGTCTGTCACAGAAAAACAATATCGCGCGCGTATTTGCTCACCGTTTAGACCTACCCTGGACTACGACAAACATTATAAAACCAAAATCAGCTTAATCGGCCCAGCCGTTCTAGAGTTCTAATCAGACTAACGAACATCAATTCATTTTTATTTATACAGGGTGTTAGGTAAATGGGTATATGAGCCGACACTAGCCCATGTTAACATGGCTATATAAATGGTATGGTGAAGTCAGAAAATTGATATCTTCATTTTAATTATTTTAATTTTCATACAAATCGGATTTTATAAAATTTATTTTATATGAAAATTAAAAAAAAAATGATATCAAATTTCTGACTTCACCATATCATTTATATGCCCATGTTAACATGGGCTAGTGTCGGCTCATATACCCATTTACCTAACACCCTGTATAGAAGATATAGAAGATTAAATTCTTTGTTACCTTTATGAAGATAAACATTGATTTATTATTTAAGGATGGTGTAACTACTAAAAATATATTTAATGTCAAAATTGAACGAGTTTTAAGAGTGATTTCGCACTATGTCTGATCCGCATTTGATCGGAAGCCATCAAAATCTGATCTAGAAAACAACTAAAGAAATAGCGGAAATGGAAACAAGCGCATAAACTACCTCTACCATACAAATAGTTAAGAGTACTACGGACCATAAATTGTTACAGATTCCGATCAGACGTAATGCAAAACTGTTTTTAGTTTTCGTACGTCACAATCTTTCTTATTGGGACTGTTATTATGGCCTCTTAACTGACAAGTAAAGAAAATTCATTGAAGATAGTATTACTATGCTGTTGCTGACCTCAACTAATTGAATGTAATCGTATCCCGCAGATGAATACACGTTATCGCGCGCCATGACGCTGATGGTGCGGCGCGCGGAGTCCGACTCCGACTCCAGCGGCTCGCCGTGCGCCGAGTGCACCTCCAGCGCGTCCTACAGGATGCCGGTGCTGCCCTCCAAAGGTACGTGCGCCAGGCAGGACGCCTGTCGCGCGCCATGACGCTGATGGTGCCGCGCGGAGTCCGACTCCGACTCCAGCGGCTCGCCGTGCGCCGAGTGCACCTCCAGCGCGTCCTACAGGATGCCGGTGCTGCCCTCCAAAGGTACGTGCGCCAGGCAGGACGCCTGTCGCGCGCCATGACGCTGATGGTGCATCCCATGGCAATATACTACTTACTTTTCCGTCAGCATGTAACACTCCTGTTAAACTACAAATGGTATATCTGTTACGGTCAAAGTGATAAATGTGAAAATTATGAATAATCGCCGGTTATTATGAATAATTACCGCATGATTTGGTAAATGTGATTAATATGAGATCATTTATGTGTGTATAAAACTAAATAGGCGGCTTAGGGGTGGCCCAAGGGCCACCCCCGCCGCACCTTAACCTATTTTTCACTTTAAATCAAAACAATTTGTTATAGGCATTATGGCAAAGTAATGTTACGCAAGAAACAGTCCAAACTCATTTTGCCAAATTATATTAATATAAGATATCAAAACGTTCAAAATGTGAGGCTGTACATGAGCGCTGTACACGAGCCGGTGTTCTCTTTAATGATATTTGTTAGTATTAAGGTTACATTATGAAATAATCACTGATAAATGTGATTAATTTATCACTTTTACCTCGCCTGTCGGTAATTATTCATAATAACCGGCGATTATTCATAATTTTCAATTTATCACTTTAACCGTAACATATCAATCATAGTGTAAGTTTTGGTTACGAGTATAACTTTGTAACAAAGTGCTAGTGCTCCAGAGGATATTATGTGCATCAAATTAAACAAAGTTTATCAAAAATAAAAAGTAGTGTTACTTAGTACTTACAAGTTACAGAGTTCCAAAAACTGCCCTAGCATACAGTGGGGTAACGTTATCCGAAGTTTCGAATGTTGCCATCCCTCTTGCGCAAAGCGCGATGCCAACATAAGTGGTGGAGACTGATAAGACCTGAAACTACGTAAACAGCGTTTCGAAATAGCCCCGTAGTAAATTTTTTAAACGACCAAACTTAGTTTGCGGACACAAAACTGGAGATAGGCCGAGCGATGAGCGGGGCGGCGCGTCACGGCGCGGGGCGATGCATACAACAAATGACAGTATAATATAGTGACACGCACAAAACGGGCGGGGCGATCGCAATACTATTCCTCATCATCAATACTGCTGCCACCTCTGGGACGGCTCTGCCAAGAAACATTTGGCTACTTTGGATTCGGTGGAAAGGCATGCCAGAAGACTTATCGACAGCCCCACCCTTGTAGAAGCGGCGCTCCAGGAACTTGACCATCGCCGTAAGGTAGCATCCCTATCGGTTTTCTACAGGCTACACTTCGGAGAATGTGCGAAAGAATTACATGAATTAATTCCACCAGCCCCCTTCCATCATCGGGGAACCAGACGCAGGTTAGCGTACCATCCCTATATTGTTGACATTCCACCAGCTCGCACTAAGCGTTTCGATGACTTTTATAATGCGAACTGCTAGGGACTGGAATTCGATGCCTGCTGCTGTCTTTCCCGAAAACTATAATCCGGGCAGGGCAGATATGTACCATCCTAGACTGCATCCCACTTAACATCAGGTGCGATTGTGGTCAAATACCTGCCTTGTTATGCATAAAAAAAAAATCGTCGCCTCGCCCATCGCTCGGCCGTCGCCAGTTTCGTGCCCGCAGACTCAGTAGTTATTACCCGATCCTTCTGTAATGTTGTGTTGTCGCAGAGGAGGTGTTCCGCGCGGTGACGGACTCGAGCGCGGAGTCTGCGTGCGCGGAAGCACGGCGGCCCGACAAGGCGCGCCGCCGCCCGCGCCGACACCACACGCCCACCAACGCCAGGTGAGCAAACACACCTCAAACTAACTATACATTTACTAGCGGCCGCCCGCGACTTCGTACGCGTGGATCCTGTTTTACCCCCTTTTCCCGAATTTTCTTTGCTACAAACCTCACGGAGCCCGAGACCTTTCCAACGAATGCAAAACCGTGGAAATCGGTTCGTGCGTTCTGGAGTTATAGCGTCAGGGAGGAAAACCCGACTTATTTTTATATAGTAGAAGATTGCGATATTAGGGCCATTTCCTACGGCAATCCTCTGTCATGCATACACAATGAGGGTTTTCGCGATTGAAAAATCCGCCAGATGGCAATACGTAGACGCGAGGTCCAAATGCTGCACGATTGGTTATTTTTGACATGATATTGACAGATATATGTCGAAATCCGCGTATGTCTGATGGACCTCGCGTCTACGAATTGCCAACTGGGGGATTTTTCAATCGCGAAAACCCTCATTAATAGGGTATTTTAATTCCAATGTACCCATCTTTTTTTTTTGCGGGACGCGAATCTTGCAGAAATGTGTCCGTGGGAAAGAGCCCTTATAGCACAGTAGATAAATCAAACAGTACGGAAGCTTCATACAAACGCTCGAAATCAGACGCACGCTTTACACGAGCTCTAAGCGAACCTCGCAGTCCATCCGTCGCGAGTGTCGCGCGCGTTGTGTAAAATAATTTTATTGCATGCACTGTCCGCTGTATTTTTAAAAACATGCCACGAGTGTATTGCCTAGTATACGGCTGCTTGAACTCGGCATGTTCAAAACCAGAACTTTCATTTTTTATATTCGTATTAATTCTGAATTGTAAAAATGATTAAATATTACTTTTTAAATAAAGTGCTTACATCTGATTTAGTAATAGTTCTTTTTAAATTACGTAATTACGCTTTTTAACAATTTATGTGTTCTATTTGATAAAGTAATTTGCTTCGCGCGCTTTTGTACTAAGTGATGAACTGTATTTAAAAAGAGGCAATAGCTATGTGAAAGTAAGTATCCGGTATTTTATTTATGAGAATAGAATATCTTCTACCGGCCTCTAATAGTACTTAATCAATTTATTCGATTATGTATTCGATCATTATAGAACCTAATTAACGTTTTATTTTTTTGTTAACTACTTAGTCAATTAATTTATTCCATTAGGTATTTGATAATTAAAAAACCTAAATAAACGTTTTAATAAATAAGTAAGTCAGAGCCTTATTAATTTTATAAAGATTAAGAGTGCCAACCCTAACACTCAGTTGAAGTGTAGGTATTTAACTCGCCGAAAGGGCTAAGTTTCCGTACTGCTTTAGCTCATATATCTACTGTGCTTATAGTGCGCACTTATACATTTAAATATGCAGTGCTATAGGTAATAAAATATGTCGTCTCCAGTAAATAATTATCGGTTATTATTACCTATATTATTGTAGATTTGTAAAAAAGTTTACACAATGAAGGAAAAAGTCAAATTGGAACAAACCTGCGCATGGGATCTTCTTGAGGATTTCGTCGTTATCGACAAACACAAACTCTGTGAAAGACACTTCATAAAATTAAATCTGAATTAAATATTTGTTACAATTTTTGCTAAGAGGAAAAACCAATTTTCCTACTACTGCTGCCACCTATCGGAGGGTTAAGCCTACTCCGTGTCCTGACACCGCGCGGCCACAAAATAAAGGACTTTTCATCTGCGTTGTAAATTGTATAACGCTCCACAGATGGCGACACTAGTTACAAAAATTTTTAGAAATGGATGATAAAGCCTCAATAATTAGAAAGATTACAACAAAATACTCGCTATACTTAATAAAAAATATCTAAAACATTTTCATTTTGTTTCCAGATATCAACAGCGGCAAGAGCAAGAGAGAAGAGATTTCACGATACACGTATAAAAACTATGACAATAAAGACTGCTAAAAGCAAAATAATGAACTATTAAAAATGTTACTTAGATAAATTTTATCGTTTTATGAGAAGAGACTGCATGGCGCAGCGTACCAAACAATGAAACGAATGGGTGAATGGTAACCATTTACACAAAAAAATATTATCATTATTTTATACTTTTGAGCTAATAAATGCTCCTATTCGTTTCCACTGTTTCTTACACTGAGGCGTGCAGTCTAAAAATGTTTGTAAATATTTTTATGGGTTTTGTACATTCGGAGAAACGTCGCGGCCTATTTGTAAAAAATGAAATTGGACAAAATTCTTACTGAAAATATTCCACATTCATTCGACAGCTACTAGAAATACCGATAGGTACGTTGACACACTCGACTATGAAAGGTCTCGTAGTTATTTAATTCTTATTTTAAAGCTCGTTTCAAGTTACTTTATCTATTAGCTCAAAAGGTCTAATAAGACGATACGAGAACTAAAGCAGTCTTCAGAATTGCTAAACTTAAGTGGGGCTTAACAATGGACGAGGCACATACCTCATAGATCTACGTGAAATGGAGACCAATGGGGGATAGGTAAAAAAGCAAAGTAATCAAGCCATTAAAATTGCAAATCAAAATATTTTTGCTAATTTGAAATTGTTAAAAAATATGATGGCATTTTAAGGGTTGTTGTTTTAGCTTGATAAAGTTAACTATTACGTGACCTGCTTTAATCGAGTCAAAAATTTACTAAAATAATGAACAAAATAGATTCAGCCCATTATCTACAATTTCCAATAAATACCGATTCATATCTGATAATGTAAAAAGTTTAGAATATAAGAGACTGGTGGTTTTATTACAAATAATTTATACCTACTTGTCTTGTTATACAGATTTGTTAATCTCATTTTATGAAATAATTGCTAAAATAATTGTCAATATACTAAATACATTTGTTTACATTGTTATGCTCTTTGTATTAGAGATGAAACGGATAGTTGTTTGGCCGGATACCGGATACCGGATATCCGGCCAGCTGCTAGGCCGGATAGCCGGATATCCGGCGGCCGGATAGTTGGCCCATTGTCTCGTTGCATGTCGTGACGAGTTTAGCGCCGCACACAGGTGCTTCGAACGCGACCAGTGGGTCTATTAGTAGACTAGACTAGTCAAACTTTTTGAAAATCAAATCCGTCCGAATAGAATGTCAGATTTTGCCACTTGTCTAGGGGGCAGATCAATTCGGGCGATTTCGGTTGCCATCGTGAGTGTGTTATTGAATAGCGAAAATTAAATTAGTTTACTTGCTGCATAATTTGACTGAACTGCATCATGTCATCAGACCATCATCAGTGAAAAAAAGATCGCCTATTTTATTTAGTGATAGTACAAGACTCGAGGCGTCGAGTCCTATTTTTGAAGCCTCGAGGCGGAATGGCAAGGCTCAGTGAGCTCGGTAGGCTCGGTGCCCCGAGCTTAGCCGAGCTGCGAGCTCTCTGAGCCATGCCTCGAGGCTTTAAAAGAGCTCGAGCCTTCTAAAGAGCTCGAACCTTCCTTCAAAAGAGCTCAAATCTTCGAAAAAAATAAAAAAACATCACCTACATTGATTTTTGTTATAAGATTCTTAAAATTTACTTATATTTTATTTTGTTGGGAAAAGTTATAATTCTAATCGTATGTAGTCATATGTATTTTATTGTAGGTATTAGAATTTATGCAGTTTTATTAAATAGAACGATCTTAACACAAAAGTTAACTGGGCTTTCGAAAAGGCTCGAGCTCTGCGAAAGACTCCAAGCTTCATACAAACGAGGCGAGCCCCAAAAAAAGGCTCGAACTCTAAAAAAGACTTCCGAGTCGTCGAGCTTCATACAAACGAGGCGAGCCCTGTAAACGACTCTGAGCTCTCGGCAAAAGTACTCGGAAGCCTCGAGCCTTGTACATCACTAATTGTATTTGGCAATATTTCGACATTAACAGATAATTAATATTTATGTATTTGTCACTAGAGTGAATAGCTCAGAAAAAGAAATTAGTTTTTGAAAGGCCTTAATATTAATATGGCTTTTTTGTAAATTTTTGGACTTTAAATAAAAGCCGCCATTATTATAAGCCATTTTATTGATATTTACCTCAAAGATTAATGTATTTTATTTTATTAATAAGAAATTGTCGTAGTTTTTTAATATCCGGTATCCGGCCGGATAGTGAGCTACTATCCGGTATCCGGCCGGATAGTAAATTTAGGCCGGATATCCGGCCTACCGGATAGTTACCGGATATCCGTTTCATCTCTACTTTGTATAATACTTATTAATTATTATAAATACCAACATGGAACTGTAATTTTAATTCACAACGGTATTTTGTTATTCACTATCACTGCCTGCGAGTTTGCTAAATTTTGTAAATATTACAAGATAAGGAAATAAAAATTAACTAATAATTTATGTACTTTATTCACCCCACATTATTTTTGCTAGTGTTACGAGTGGGTTCATCACAATCCCGGATCACGAGTAATTATTACTAGATAACTGCACAAGAAATACGTAGGTACTATGTAATAACGCCCTAATGCACAAGTGGTTTAGTAAATATCCATGAGACTTGGATTCGATGCACGGTCAAGTTAATAAAATACTAATACTGTAGCCGTGGTTGTCTACTTCTCAGAATGGCATTATATTCTACGTTTTCCTCATTAAAATTGTATGCAAAAGCAAAGTACTTAGTTGTGTCAAAAGTTACAACTTAGCTATTGTCAAAATATTATGTACTAGGATCCAGGAAAATTATCTTCTGAAACACAACTAAAAACAATAGGTAGACAAGAAAGGGTATTATTATTACTACTTAAATAAGCATTAAAAGTACCAGGGGTACAGAAATCTAGAGAAGTTTAATTTTCTATTATTTAAGTCTACACATTATTAGATAATTCCAGGAGAGATTACACCATTCTTATGTAAGGAAGAATATAGAAAATAGAACACCGCAACGCAAACCATCTAAGTCTACCTAAAACCTCCATAAAAAAAAAACTATGAAAACCATGGGGGTTGGGCCTCAGGTACCCTCACTCACTCGGCGTAACAACAAATTAGTGTTGCTTCACGCCGGTTTCCTGTGAGGCCGTGGTATCACTCCGGTCGAGCCGGCCCATTCGTGCCGAAGCATGGCTCTCCCACGAAGAATTAAACAGACTAGGTATCCATTGTCTGAACTTAAAAGATTGTACCACAGCTGGCAATAGAAAGGTTCAAAGATGTTCATTGCCTAAAATCGATGCAATAGATAAAATCTGGTCAAATGGAATCCTCTGTATCCTTTGGCAAGCGCCTGAGCTTCAGTCAGCGCCCTGGCGGCCGGCCAGCACTACAGGCTACAGTGAGTTCCGGCGGTAACTGGCTGACGGCATTTAGATAGGTAAGTAATAACTCAAAACTACGTGTCTCAAAGACACCATTGAAATATACTCTAAAATAACTGGAGAAAATGTAACGTCATAAAAATGCAATTAGACGCTTTCAAAAGCTCCTAAAGTGTTACGTAGAGATTGCAATCCGGATTATTCGAAAAAATCTGAAAAATCCGGATTTTGAGGCTATAAAAAAATCCGGATTTTGACTTTGAAATCCGGTTTTTTCGAATATTTTTACCCCAAAAATTTTATCATAAAATCATAAACCAAAATATGTATTGAATGCAACATGGATGCAAAACAAGCGAAGTTTTGATTGAACGCACCCGCACTTCGTCGCACAACACTCTCACCTGCACTGTGCCTGCACAACGCTAGTCGGCTAGTGAGTTTTATACGAGACGCTGATTCTGAAACACCATATCGCTGAGTTTTAAAGAGCAGCTAAATCGGAAAATATCCCTTGCAAGTGTAAGTCATCATCATCATCTCAGCCGTAGGACGTCCACTGCTGAACATAGGCCCCCCCAATGCTTTCCATGTTGCCTGGTTGGTCCACCTTGTGGGTGGACGTCCCACGCTGCGTTTTCCGGTACGCGGCCTCCACTCCAAATTCAAATTATTTATTGCATGTCACTCTAGAACCTTGCTGCCCCATCGGCCGTCAGTTCTGCGTACTATGTGCCCTGCCCATTGCCACTTCAGCTTGTATCCGTCGGGCTGGTATGTCAGCGACTTTAGTTCGTTTACGGATCTCCTCATTTCTGATTCGATCTCGTAAAGAAACACCGAGCATAGCCCTCTCCATAGCACGCTGTGCAATTTGAGCTTCTGTATAAGGCCTATAGTGAGAGGCCACGTTTCCGAACCATAAGTCATCACTGGTAACACACATTGGTTGTAGACCTTAGTCTTCAGGCACTGAGGTATTTTGGACGAAAAGATGTTGCGTCGTTTCCCAAACGCTGCCCGGCCGAGTTGGATTCGACGATTGACCTCTTTCTCGAAATTGGACCTACCCAGCTGAATCGTTTGTCCGAGGTAGACATACTTGTCAACAATCTCGAGAATTGAGCTCCCAACCGAAACTGGGTAGGGCGCAACATGGACATTGGACATAAGCTTTGTTTTCTCCATATTCATCCGCAGGCCAAGTGTAAGTAGAGATATCTTGAAAATATATTGAAGATATCTTCAACCTCGCCCATCAAGTTTACCCAGAGGATCCGATTTGCTTACATTAATTCATCTCGAAATGTCATTGTATGAGAATGGGGGTAATTGTGGAGAAATCTTTAAAAGAGTTCTAAACAGGTTGTTGGCTATATTATCGCCGATCATTTAGCTGGGTTGATGATGGAGTCAAGAGGTGACCATAGGAACTCTTAAACGAAACGGCGGAATCGCATCGAACTTGGGTTCGTTGGATTTGTCTTTTCGAGCACTTTAGTGCTAGATGATGCCCAGGGTCCTGATGATGGATTCGGCAGTTGGCCATAGGAACTCCTAAACGAAACGGTGGAAACTCATCGAATTTGGGTTTGTTGGATTTGTCTTTTCAAGCACTTAAGTGCTAGATGATGTTCAGGGTCCTGATGATAAAGTCAGGAGGTGGCCATAGGAACTCCTAACCGAAACGGCAGAAACTTATAGTTTGAGTTCATTGGATTCGTCTTCCCGAGCACTTTGGTCGTAAATAATGACCAGGACCCTGAGATTGAAATACAACTTAAAAGTGTAAAATAAAATTATAATAAAAAAAAATTGGCTCCCTGGCCTACCTGGAAATCTTTATAGACTTCGGACAGGTCTGCCGTAGTAAGGACAATCTGTTCAGGTGTCAGGTGGTGATTCTTGGATGGATCAAACTTGGAGTGGAAGTGTGGTTTTGTTCCCCAGTCGACGAAGCACATGATGTCGTGCCCTGCGTGCCCAAACAACTGCAAGCAGAAGATTTAATGAAGGCTACTGATAACGCCACTCTTGTGGCGGAGTTTTGGACTGACGCTGTGTAGGTTTTTTGTTGACACGACTAGAAGAAGAATAAAAAAAATATTTTATAGGTACAAGCAA